AGAATAATTTTCAGCAAAACTCTTCACAGACCTTGAAAGAATGGTACTCAACTTCATGTAGATAAACAAAAAATTCAGGATAGCCAAAACAATCCTGTACAATAAAGGAACATCTGGAGGCATCACAATCCCTGACTTCAAACTCTACTACAGAGCTACAATACTGAAAACAGCCTGATATTGGCATAAAAACAGACAGGAGGACCAATGGAACTGAATAAAAGACACAGATATCAATCCACACACCTATGAACACCTGATTTTTGACAAAGAAGCAAAGAGTATAAAATGGAAAAAAGAATGCATATTTCACAAATGGTGCTGGCCTAACTGGATATCAACATGTAGAAGAATGAAAATAAATCCATATCTATCACCATGCATAAAACACAGGTCCAAATGGATCAAAGACCTCAACATAAAGCCAACCACACTGAACCTCATAGAAGAGAAAGTGGGAAGTACACTTGAATGCATTGGCATAGGAGATCACTTCCTAAATATAACCCTAGTAGTGCAGAAACTGAGAGAAACAATTAATAAATGGGACCTCCTGAAACTGAAAAGCTTCTGTAAGGCAAAGAACATGGTCAACAAGACAAAAGGCAGCCTACAGAATAGGAAAAGATCTTCACCAACCCTGTATCGGGCAGAGGGCTGATCTCCAAAATACACAAAGAACTCAAGATGTTGGTCATCAAGAAAACAAATAATTCAGTAAAAAATGGAGTACAGACCTAAATAGAGAACTCTCAACAGAGGAATCTAAAATGGCTGAAAGATACTTAAGAAAATGTTCAACAACCTTAGCCTTCAGAGAAATGCAAATCAAAAAAACAAAAAACTCTGAGATTCCATCTTACACCTGTAAGAATGGCCAAGATCAAAAACATTGATGACAACTTATGCTGGAGAGGAAGTGGGGTAAAGAGAATACTCCTGCACTGCTGGTGGGTGTGCAAATTAGTGCAGCCTCTTTGGATATCAATATGGTAATTTTTCAGAAAATTAGGAAACAACCTATCTCAAGACCCAACAATACCACTTTGGGTATACCCAAAGGATGTTCAATCTTGCCACAAGGACATGTGCTCAACTATGTTCATAGAAGCATTGTCATAGCGAGAACCTGGAAACAACTTAAATGCCCCTCGACTGAAGAATGGATTAAAAAAAATGTGATATATTTACACAATGGAGTACTACACAGCAGAAAAAATATGACATCTTGAAATTTACAGGCAAATGGATGGATCTAGAAAATATCTACATATACTGGATTTTGGGGATCCAGTCTGTTTGGACACTCACCTTCCTGGACCTGGAGGGAGGGGGAAGGAACTGGAACTTCCCACAGGGCAGGAAACCCTGACTGCCCTGGGGGACGAAGAGGGAGGAGGAGGGGGAGTGGGGGGAGTGGGAGGGTGTTGGGAGGGGGGGCGGAAATGGAAACTTTTATAATTTAATAAAATTTACT